GAAGAGAATAAGCTTCATACCCTTTGCACTTCTCCTGCCCCCCTTCCCATATTTCTCTCTCTCTCTCTCTCTCTCTCTCTCTCTCTCTCTCTCTCCCTCTCTCTCTCTCCCGCTGGGCTGGCTGGGCTGCGCGGCCTAGTGGCGCCGGCCTGGCGCCGGCGTGACGTGGCGCAGCGCTGCTGGGGGGCGCGCCGTGGCGTCCAGGCGTCGTGGCGACGCCCCAGCATCCCTCCCCATATCTCTCTCTCTCTCCCTCTCCCCCTCTCCCTCTCTCCCTCTCTCTCTCCCTCTCCCTCTCTCTTCCTGTCGGGTTGAACGCCCCTCCCCCCCGCCGCGCCACCCCCTGGTGCTGCTCGGGGCGAACACAAACACGCGGGGCTCATGGCACCCCGCCCCGCCCCGCCCGCGTCCATTAATAACGTAACGCCGGGGACACTCTGCTCCCCGCCACGCCAAGCAATCCCGGGTGTGGCGTTTATTTCCCCCAATAATTCGCGCGTCCGGCTGCCTCGTTTTGTTTTTTGATAATAACTCGTGGCCCTCTCTCTCTGCTGCCTGACAGGTATGCCCCGCAGGACGCCGCGCGCGGCTCTCGGCTCGGCTCGGCTCCGGCAGCGCGCTGTTTGAACGATCGGTAAATATTGCGCAATCCCTTTTCCTCTGACGGGGGCGGCGGGGAGGGAGGGAGGGACCGGACCGGAGGGACTGGCTCTGCTGACCCGGAAAGAGACAGAGCTGGCAGAGAGAGACAGACAGAGAGAGAAAGAGAGAGGAGGGGGCGCGGAAGTTGAAGCAACCTGCGGTGCTGGTGCGCGGGGGTAGAGTTTGGACGCTGCTGCTGCAGGGCCGCCGCCCGGGGCGGAGGGCTTCCTCGCCGCCCTCCGGTTCCCTCTGGTTCCCTCCGGTTCCCTTCGGCCCCTCCGGGCTCCCTCCCTCTCTCTTGGTCCTCCGCCTCGCCGTCGGGCCGCCGGGCTTCTCGGTTAATTAATCATTATTGCTCCACCTGTGTGATTGGCCCCGAAGGACTCAAAGCGCCGCGGCGGCGCCGGCCATGGGGAGGAGGAGAGGGGATCTCGTTTGCGTGCGCCCGGGGGGTGCGTCTCGGGGGCGGGGCGGTGCGGGGCCGGGCGGGCCTATCAAGGGATTTCATTTGGGCACCACGCCCCGCCCCGCTCGCTGCACCGCCGCTCCGGCAGAGGAACCCGAGCCACTGCCTCCGTCCCGGTGAAAGCAAACTACCCTTCCTCTCTGATTGGGGCGGTGTCGATCTGTTCCGTTGAGCGGTGCGAACGTCCCTCGCGCTACCCGGCGCCCACCGACCGGCCCAGGCTAGGGTGGGGGTTTTCTTTGCCGGCCCGCCACACCCCGGCCGGCACACCCCCGCTGCTGGCACACCTCGCTGGCACACCCCACACCCCGGCCGCCACACCCCGGCCGCCGCAGCACGGTCAGCCCGGTGCGGCTCGACCCGGGGGCTCAGTGGGTCAGTGCCGTGCCGCCTCCCTGCGCCTCCCGCCGGCCCGCCCTGCGCCCCGCCGCCCCGAGCCGCCCCCAGCCCAGGCCCGGCGCGCGGCGTGGCCGCCCCCAGAGAGGCCGCGTCGCCTAACCGCCCCCGCTATTGATCGCCCACTATGCCTGCCTGCGCGCCGCCCCCGCGCCGCCGCCACCGCCTGCTACCCCTCGCCGCCACCGCCGGCTCTGTGTTGCAGCAGTAGGCCGTGTGTAATTTTCTGGTGATTATGTGGAGCTTCCTCCTCTCCTTGCCTTCCCTCTGCTTCCCTTCCCTTCCTTTCCCCCCGCCCCCGCCACGCCCCTCTCTTTAATCCCGATTGTCTCGTAAGCCGCTCCGCCCCCTCTTCACACCTATCGCCCCCCCCCTCTTCTTCCCTTTGTACCGGGCCCCCTTGGGGATGCCGCTGCTCGCTGCTCCCCGCCCGCGCCCAGCAGCCAGCTCTCTGGAACACAACAGCCAACAGCGAAGGTGCAGAAATGTGCCTTTTGGGAGCGCGGCCGGCGAGCGGCGCCCCCAGCAGCGAGCAGCGGCTCCTGGCCTCACAGCGCCCACCCCGGCCCCGGCACAGCGCCCACCCCTGCACCCTCCCCTCCGGCCCGGCCTCGGCTCGGCAGGCCGCCACCCCCGCTGGGTGGTGTTTTCCATATTCTCCTCCCCTTCCCTTTTCTTTCCTCTTCCGCGTTGGTTCTGTTCACCTAGTCTCTTCCCCTCCCCTCTCCACCCTCCTCCTTCCCGTGCCTCCCTTCCCCCTCCACGCTGCTGCAGCATCCTCATGACCACGTGACTCGGTTTGGTCTTTAAAGTCGCCGCGGTCGAACCCCCCCGCTTGGTCCGCCCCGTCGTGCCCCCCTACCCCCTACCCACCCGCTGGAATGCCCGAGGCCTGGCCGGCCCCGCCGCGCGCGGCTGGAGTGGAGTGCTCATCCCTTACTGGAATGCCCTGCTGGCCACCACCCCGTGCCTCTCTGGAGAGGACCCTCATACCCCCTTCCCCTCCCCTCCCCCTGCCCTCCTCTGCTCCGGCATCACGGCTCCAGCACGGCTCCAGCACGACCGAGCCACTGGAGCGGTCGTACATCTTGATCCCTTCCCT